TCGTGCATCTCCAGATTATCTATTACACTCTCTATTACACATAGATACCTATCTATTACACATCTCAGATTGGATGTACTAGGGACAAACTGAATGAGTTCAAAACTGACATTAAATGAACCAATTATCTCCCTTCCCCCTTCCCATTTCCTAACTTCCCTACTACCAATGAGGGGGCCACCCTTCTCCCAGTCACCTTTAGCCCTCTTTTTTCCTGGGCCAGGCCTGTCCCCTCACTCTAATCCCTCCCTCCACTCAACTGCCAGATGGATCCTCCCAAAGTGCAGATCTGACCAACTCAACTCTCTGCTCAATCAACTGCAATGGCTCCCTATCACCTCCAGGATGAAAGTGGAAAACCCTGTTTGGCTTTTAAAGTCATTCATGATCTGGCCCCCTCCTCCTTTATCAGTCTCCTTACACCTTACTCTCACAGCCATGTGATAACACTGCTGATTCTCACAAGACACTTGTATCTTCCAACTTTAAACATTTTTGCATTGAGAGACAGCTAGGTGGTAAGGTGAGTAAGACCTGGATTCAAATCTAGACACAGATATTTCCTAGCTGTGTGACCAAGTCACTTCATCTGTCTGCCTCAGTTTCCTCAACTGCAAAATGGGGATAATAACAGCACCCAAATGAGATAATGATTGTAAAGACCCTAGCAAAATGCCTGGCACATAGTAGATGCCTAATAAAAATTTATTCCCTTCCCTTCCTTTCTGCCTGTTGTCCTCCCATGCCTGGAATTCTCTCCCTTCTCTTTCTCTATCTCCTGGATTCTTGGCCCCCTTCAAACCCCAGCTAAAATCTTTCTACCAGAACCCCTTCCCAATCCCCCTTAATTCCCACACCTTCCCTCTATGGATTATCACCGATTCATCCTGTATCTCATCTTATCTTGTTTATACATAGCTGTTTGTATATTGTCTCCCCTAGGGCATGAGCTTTTCTTTGTATGACCAGTGCTTAGCACATTGCCTGAGCACACAGCAGGTGCCTAATAAAGGCTGGTCAGCTGACCAACACTTCTGAACCTAGCACTTTTAATCCAAGTGCTATCTTCCTTCAGTCCAAGACCAGTGTTATCTGTGTTGATCCGTGCTAGTGGTGCATGAAGTACTCACTCTGCACAACGAATACATGCATATGAAATCCAAACCCAATGACAGGACCAAGTCAAAGGGTGCTATCAGAGCTTTCCGAAGGCTTTGACATTCTTTACAAATGGTGAGCAGCACAATATTTCATCTGTCTAAATTTCCTCTTCATTCAAAGCTCCCCTAGATTATGGCCAGACTTGCCCAATCTGTGACTCGTGGAATGTCATCAGACATCATGGACATCGGAGTGGGGTTTCCTAGATTTCAATAGGAAGTTCCAACTTTGAGGTTCTCCGACTGACCTGCATGTTCTCTCGATCTGATGAGTTATGAACACACCATTTAGATATACTTCAACTTGACTGTCATTCCTTAATTCATTTACATGAAGACACTGATGTAGATTTTAGTTATTTTTTTGAAGTACTAATATCGATCATTTCGGCAACTCTACGAAGAGCAGCCTTCTGCAAAGAAAAAGCCTTCTTTGCAGATCTAATAGATCTGAAAATCATTACTAGCTCCTAAATTCACCTTATCGCCTGTTTACCTCCAAGTCTGGCACTAACTTGAAATTCCCATTGGTTCCAAGTTAAGACGTTCAAGTACAAGTCTACTATTCTCCCAGTTCTAAAAACTTAACTGATAGAAGTCACTCAAATCAAGTAGGTAAAAATAAGAGAAGCTCTTGGACAGACTTCAGCTAAAAAGCAGCCCTGGAACCGTTTTAAGGCCCTTTATGCTCCTGATACTGGCTAGGCTGGGACAGTCCCATTCAAAGGCTGAGCCATTTAACCTGGACTGGGCCATCACATTTGCTTTGACCTTTGGTAAGAACCAACCTGGGCTTTCAGTTTCTTAATTTATTACCATTTTCACTTGTTTGTCAAAATTCCTGGATACTAGGTTACTACAAAGGCACACTTATTAACAGGGGAACTGAATGATCAAAAAAGAAAAAATTTCCTGGCATTAGCCTCCTTCACTCAAATCCATCTCCAACGCCACTAGCAATTACATCTTTAGAGCCATCCTTAGTGCAGTGAACAGCTTTAGTTAATAATCACTAACACAGGACTCATCCTTCCTAAAGTTGAAATGCAGAATTTGAAATTAGAAAAAGGCTAAAGCTAAACTTTAAAAGAAAGTGGCTGCAAAAGTATACTGAAACTACTTGTAAGGTGGGAAGCACTGAATATTAAAATGTAAAAGGATTTATGAATTGTTATGTCAAGCAAACTGACGAGCTTCTTTCCTTAAGCAAGAGACAATTTTAGCTCAGTTAAAACATTAGCAAAAAGGCCTCTTACTCCTCAAGTGGAAGATTGGGGGGGGGGGGGAGAAATACACATTGAGGTCAAAACTGGAGAAAGATGAAGCAGCTGAGGCAAAATGAAAACCTCATATGGTAAGCAAAGATATTAATTTAACTACTGAGCCAACAAAATTTATAAAAATAACTCGTGAACACATTTAGAATTTTCTCAATCATCCAAAGGGATCTAAAGTGGCAATACAGTTTGTGTGTGTAAAACAGAAGAGCGGGAATTAGACAGTATCTAGTCTACAGACTAAAATTCTGGGAAAAAAAAAGAGGCCAGGTGCTTACTTCACTCCCGATTACAAGAGGGAGAACTCCTCAGTTCTGTACTCCCAGCGCTCCCAGCCGAAGCAGGCCAGTCAAGATTAGCCAACAGAAAAAAAAAAAAAAAAAAAAAAAAAAAAGAAGAAGAAAACCATTTGTCAGATCTTTCTTTCCTAACCCAGGGATCACTATTAAATAGCAAGTTTTCTAAATCTTCACAGAGCTTACTATCTTTTACATCATAACTAAAACTGAATAAGGAATCACTTAAAAAGTTACTTAGTGAAGTTACTTCCGGAGAGAGACAACAATCTAACAGAGGAAAACAATGTCTTCAGTGAGCTACTAAAAATCAATTGAAACATTGAGTCAGCCACTATTCTACTATTAAGGATGCCAGTTACTGTGGAAACCAAGGAAATCTCAAGCAGTAAGAAGCAAACCAAAGCTAATGCACCTCCAATGGTAAGTGGCCTGGCACAGAGTAGGCACCTGAATAAATCATTTCCATTCATTCATTCATAACTAGAATTAGCTTATTGGAAATTTGCATTCTAACCTGGAAACACTAAGAATTTGGATTCTTGTGAATTCATTCTTTACAGAAATTAGTTGCCTAAAATTAGACCTTGAGAGAGAAATGAAAAAAGATCTCTTATCTGTAAATGTATGAAGGAACCAAAATATCTTCCCATAGGTCTGTGCTCACCAACATAGCCAAATTTCAAAGGAAATGATTTATAAATTAGCCCCTATGTTATTAACAAAGGCCCCACTGTTTAAATGGATGAACTTGGTAGATCTACAATTAAAGAGTCAAATTTGGGCAATGCCTTTCACTAAGTCACTGAAGAATGGAAGAAGAAATGTTCAACAACAATATCGTACCTCATTTATAATCACTCCTCCTTTTTACCATAGAAGAGAAGGACCCAGGTTTGATTAAACCCCAGATGGAACAAACCAGTCTTAACCTTTAAAACCAATCCCCTATTAGAAAAATCCCCTACACTCCTATTAATTCCATCTCAAGAATCAACTCAAAGCATTTGTCAAATTCCCATTCTTCCACTATAAGATGGTGTCTATTTCCCAAAAGGCTAGATAAAATTCTTCTCAAACTTGAGGATATTAAATTTGCTTAGCACAATCAATGCACACATTCCATCTTTAGGGATACGATGAACTATGGCCACGTACTCCGAGGGAGCCGTATCAGATGTTCCCAAACCAGCGCCCGATCGGGACCGATCCTTCACAGCGGGAGCAACGAGGTCTCCCTTATACTGTCAGATGGCCAGCCATTTTTCCTCTTCATTTTCCTGGCAGCTCCAACTACATAACGACGAACAAGGAGATCGGTGCCATCGTGGATAACAAGTAAACCCAGGGTGGGAGAAGCGAAGAGTGTCTCCGAATTCCTCTATCGACACACAAACACACCGAGTCCAAAAGAGAATGGAAACACCAAGAACTGTGAAATGTTAAAAACCTGAAACAGGCATCCTGAACCAAAATCGAAGCATCCAAAAAATCCAAACCTCTCCTTGCCAACTAAGTTCCAGTGCAACCAGTCCGTGGTTTGTTGGAGCCTGGAAACCTACAGCTTCGTCTACAAGTTCCAGCCTCGATTTGGGGGCACCTCGATCCCTAATTCCGTCCCTCGCGTCCCAAACCCGAAAAAAGCCAATGGAAGAAAATCCAGAGCAAGTAAGCCCACCCCCACCCCCACCCCCCGAAGAAGCCAACCTAACCCTTCTCCTCGCTCTTCTTCAACCTGCTGAGCCTAAAGGAGAGCTTCAGACATTTTGGTCTGAGCAATCGAAGCAACGGGAGACGCACAAAAAGCTCGGTCCGTGCATACTCCATATTGATTCCGAATGCCAATTGTACAAAACCAAAACAACAACAACAACAAAAACTAACTAAACTGCAGGATTGCAAGGGAAAGGAAAAGGTGAAGACGACTCGCACGTCCAACCTTTGAAAGCCAAGATCTAAAAGGAAAACAGTCAAGGAGTCAGGACCAATTTCAGCCCAAATCCCCCAGATCAAGGAAAAGAAGAAGAAAGGAGGAAAAAGTAGGAAGCGGGGAGGAAAAACATCCATGCGAGCACGGGGTGTGGGGGGGGGGATTCGGGGCCCGGAAGACGATGGGCTCTCGCAGGCAGCCAAAGGCGCAGCGGCCACGACAAGGGCTCACCCCCCTCCCCAGGACCGCCCCCCCCCCGGCCCGGGCAGCGGCCGTGCACCCGGGTCCGGCCGGCCGCGGGGGAGAGCGTGGGAGCCCGGCGGGCAGCGGGACTGACCTGTGCCGTCGCTGGCGGCCACCGAGAGGGCCGGGGAGGCGAGCTTGGGCCGCTTGGGGGCGGGCGGCCCGGCCTCCACCACGTTCTCGGCCATGGCTGCGGGCCGCTCCGCTCGGCTCGGCTCGGCTCTGCTGGGCTCGGTGCTGCTCTGCGCTCGCTCGCTCGCTCTCTCTCTCGCTCCGGGCTCCGGGCGGGCACACTCACGCACACTCACACAGGCTCCCACGCACGCTCACGCTCACGCTCACGCACGCTCCCCCCCTAGTGGCGGGGCCGGCGCGGCTCCCGGCCGCTCGTCGGGGCGCTGGCGGGGCTGGGGCTGGGGCTGGGGCCTGCGGAGCGCCCTGGGCCGCGGCCTCGTCGCCGTCCTCATCGCCGGCCCGGGGGCTCGTCGTCTGCGCTCGGGTCGGGGCCGGGCCGCCGCCTCACATCGTGCTGCCGCTGCCGCTGCTGCTCCGGCGGCGGCTCGGGCCGGGGCCGGGGCCGGGGCCGGGCTGGGCCGCGCCGCGGGGCCTCCTCCGCCCGCCTCCGCCTCCTCCTCGGCCTGGGCCTCGCCTCCGCCTCCTCCGGGGCCGGGCCGCGCACCCAAACAAAATGGCGGCTGTTGTTCGTCCGCGGCGCGGCGCTCGGCTGCGCGGCGCCCGCTCGCCTCGGCCCAGGCCCCGCCTCGCCTCGGCTGCGCTCGGCTCGGCTCGGCTCGGCTCGGCTCGGCCCGGCCGCTTCGGCTCGGCGGCGCTCGCTTGGACTCCGCTCGGCTCGGCTGCGCTGCGCTCTCCTCCGTCCGCTCGGCTCGGCTCCGCTCCGCTCGGCCCAGTCCTCCCTCCTCCTCCTCCTCTTCCTCCTCCCCCAGCCCTCCTCCTCCTCCTCCGCCTCCGCCTCCTCTTGCTCCTCCTGCTCCCAGGCGAGCGCCGGCGGCGGCGGCGGCGGCGGCGGCGGCGGCGGCCGCAGGAGCAGCAGCAGCGGCAGCGGCAGCGGCGTCGGCAGCCGCGGCGGCAGCGGCAGCGGCAGCAGCAGCAGCAGCAGCAGTAGCGACGGCGGGGGCCGGAAATGAGCCAAGGGGGAGGGGGGCAGGGGGGCGGGGCCGAAGGCGGACGGACGGACAGCGGCGGGGGGAGGGGACCGGAGGAGAAGGGGCGGGGCCTGCCCCCCCTCCGAAGGGCTCGCACAATGGGCGCCGAGAAGCCTGCAGGAGGCGGGGCCCTGGCCGAGCCCGGGACCGCCCCCTCCTCTCCTTCCCCACGCCCGCCCGTCGACTGCGAGCGGGGGGCTTCCGCAAACTCCCCGAGCGAGCGTCATTCTTAAAGGGGAGGAGCGGGAGGTGGGGGGGGGGAGGAATTTAAAGTCGGAGGGTAATGACGGCGCGAGAGCCGCTGGCGCTGGCCTCTGCTGAAGCAAAGGAGAAGAAGGTGCTACGCCCTGAAATGAGCCAAGCCACTGCGCAGGGGGTTGCCTCCTAGTGCGCCCCTGTCTGTCCTCAGCCCCCAGTTAGAAGACTCGGCTTCCTGACCCCTGCCGCCCCCCCCGCCCCCACCCCGAGGCCTGATTAATAAAGAAAATGATATTTAATTATTCAGAAGCGCTGGCACTCCCCGGGCCGCTCTGGCCACCACCCCCCTCCCGCCCGAACGGCAGGTGTTGCCCCCATGAAAAAAGCGAGGCTCAAACAAGTGCACCAACCTCAGAACCGAGGTGGGCACGGAGGTCCGGAGCACTTTCAAAGGGTTAGTCGTACATCTAGAGCTGACTGCCCCCCTGCCCCTCTTTTTACAGAAGAGGAAACTGAGGCACGGGCAGGGGTGCGGTTCGTGTGATTTGCCCACAGCAGGCCAAGTAGTATTGGAACCTCGATCCGCTGCAACTGGAGCAACATATCCCGCCCCCACTCCAGACCCACCACCGCCTTGCACCCCTGGTTTTTCATTTGAGGTGGATCATCAGAGGCTCTTAACCTGCGGTCCACCAAGGGCTTTGTTTCGTGTTTTGATCACACTTCAGTTGTACTCCTGTGTATTTTATCTTATGCATTGAATAACATGATTCCGAGGAGGGCTCCATAGTTTCACCTGATTGACCACGGGGACATAAACAACCTGGAGAACCCCTGGTTTTGACACCTTTCCCTTTTAGCCTGTATGGGGGGGGTGGGGGTGGAACAAGCATTTATTAGAACCTACTACGTACCAAGCACTCTAATAGTGCTTTACAAATAGGACCTTTGTAACTATGGATTGGGATCCAGACAGAGGACCTCGGTTCAAGCTGTTACTATTTGGGAGAACTTGGCAGAACATCATCCCTTTGGTACAAACGAGGGTCAGAGGACATGAAATCAAAGCCTTCCCGTGGCACTTAATACTTGTATGACCCCTGGGCATGTCCCCTCCTCTCTCTGAGCTTCAGTTTCCTCATGTGAAGGGAAAAAAAAACAAAACAAAAGTTGGACAAGATGGTTTTTGAAGGTCCTTCCAGCTTTTCTGTGATCCCTCTGCTTCATCTTCTACAAAATGGACATGGAAGAGGAGATAGTGGAGTTCCCTTCCTCCCTCTATTTTAGGTCTTTAATGGAAGTCGGGATGACCACCTGGCAGGTGTGTGTTAGAGGGAGTGTGTGATGGAGGGGATTCGATTCTGAGATCTGACCAAAGATGGCCCCTGGGGTCCCTTGGACTCCTATTCTTTGCTATGACTAGATTGAAGGGCTCTTCAAGCTCCAAAGCATAGAATCCTAGTGTCCTCCATGTGCCATCCAACAATAGAAACAGCCTGGAACTTAGATTGTGGATAAATTAAGATTCAAATTTTGTCTCTCTCCTGCTTTAGTTGTGTACTCGTGAGCAAATTGCTCTTAGCCTCAGTCTCCTCCTCTGTAAAATGGCTATAATAAAACATAAAGTACCTGTATTTGTAACCCCACTGATTAGCACATACTGAGCACAGGATAAATGCTTTTCACTCATTCCTTCATTCATACCTGCCTCACCGGGTGCTCAGGAGGTTCAAATGATATAAGGGATATAAACTGATATAAATGGACGTACATTCAGTGGGCAGAGAAAGTAGAAATGTCAGACCAAGTATTTTACAGCTGCTGGTTGGAGCCTTCTCCTCTAAGAAGAACATTCCTTTACCTCTTTTAACAATATTTCCTGGCTTTCTATAAGCCCTATCTGAAATCCCAAGTTCTGCAAAAAGCCTTCCCCAACCTCTCTCATTTCTAATGCCTTCCCTCTCAATGATTTCCTGTTTATCTTGTATGTAGCTTGTTTGTACATATTTGCTTGGTGTCTTCCCCCAACACACCCCAAGAACTTAGTACTGGGCCTGGCACGTGTTGTTTCGGTCCTATCTGTGTCTCTTTGATCCCCTTTTGGGGTTTTTTTTTGGCAGAGATGCTGGAAAGGTTTGCCATTTCTTTCTCCAGTTCATTTTATAGATAAGGAAACCGTGGCAAACAGAGTGAAGTGTCTTGCCCAGGGTCACACAGCTAGTAAGTGTCTGAGGCCCCGATTTGAACTCAGGAAGATTTGAACTTCCTGACTTCAGGCCTGGCATTCTATCCACTGTACCAGCTAGCTACCCTGGCAACTAACCTGACTGACTGGCACTTAGGAATCACTTGATAAATTCTCATTGAATGATCTATTGAGGAAGTAGAAAGGGGTTTGGCCAAGGTCACATAGCTATTGAGAAAGTGTTGGGATTAGAACCCGGGTCCTCTGAATCCAAATCCAAGGCTCTTTCTGCCACGCAAGTTTGTCTCTTTTACTGCAAGGGAAAGAAACTAATAATAACTAGCATTTATATAGCACCTGCTATATACCAGGACTATGCTGAGTGCTTTACAATTATCTCATGTGATCCTGACAACAACCTTGTGAGGTAGGTGCTATTGTTAACCCTAGTCTGTAGCTGAAGAAACTGAGGCAAGTGAAGTTTAAGTGACTTGCCCAGGGTCATTGTGGCTGAACTCACATTTAAACTCAGGTCTTCCTGACTCTAGGCCCCACTCCACACGCATACCTCGCCTTGGAAAGGAGCAGATAGAGAAGGAAGAGAAGGGAAAGCAAAGAATATGTTTCTCTGAGATGATATCAGAACTGTGATTTTTTTTTTTTAAAAAGGCCTCTTTTCTTTCCTGGGTGCTCCCAAGCTTTGCCTTCCCCTGGATTTGCCCCTCTGCTCCCCTAGAAGCTTCAGGAGGCCAGAGAAGCCCTAGTTTTCTAAACTTCAGACCATAGAATCTTAGAATTTAAGAGAAAACCATCTGGTCCAATCCCCTCATTTTACAGAGGTGGAAACTGAGGCCCAGAAAGGGACAGTGACTTGCCCCAAAGTCACCCCACTGATAAGTTTTAAAATAGTGATTCAGGGGTAGCTGGGTGGTGCAGTGGATAGAGTACTAGGCCTGGAGTCAAGAGGACCCGAGTTCAAATGTGGCCTCAGACACTTACTAGCTATGTGACCCTGGCCAAATGACTTAACCCTGATTGCCTCATTGAAAAAAAAACAACAAACAATTGAGTCTAACCACAAACTTTCCCCACTTACTAAGTTGCTTTTCTGTCCCTGCTACTGCTCTGTACAAAGCAGGAGCTTCTTTCCAATCAAACTGTAACCATCAGTGAGTTTTCTCCTTCTCCGACGTCCTATTTTCTCTCTCTTCTTCACCCCATGTCTTTGCATGCATAAGCCCTCCACGTTGAAAACTTACTCTCAATGGAGTTTTCGATTACTTTTTCTTGATGGTTTCAGCCCATTTGGACATTGCTAATCGGGTTTCTTGGCCAGCTGAATCACACATGGAGACCTGGTGCTGGCTGGGTTTCTGTGGCAGGTGGAGGAGGCCATGGGACAGAAGAAGCGTCTTTGGGGTGACCAACCACTGTTGGAAGTTATAGTTGTGTAGAATATGGCCATTGGTTGTAGCCTAATGGAAACAGGAAATGTGAATTCAAAGAATATGGCCACTTCTCTGGAATTCCTCCTCGGCACTAATCAAGACCTATGATCTTAGGATTTTATTAGAAGCCTATGTGCCAGGCACTTTGGGATAGAAACAGTAGAAATTAGTTATACTGAATTCTTCATTCTGGTAGTCAGTCAATAAGCATTTATTA